CCCGATCGGAGCCCTTTCTCCACGGGCGACTGCGGGCTGGGCTGGAGCCCAAGGCGACTGCGGTGCAGGGCCAAGGGCGCCGGGGTGCTCCCGGGGCTTCAGCGTCCCGTAAATCCCAGCTTGCTGTCCTCAGTCTCGAAGTGGGACGCGACAGGCTGAACGGAGGCCTGACCCACCCTGCGTGGCGGCGCCCCCGCGGGGGAGCAGGCCGCAGGCCCCGAGCTTTCAGGTGACCCACCCTGCGTGGCGGCGCCCCCGCGGGGGAGCAGGCCGCAGGCCCCGAGCTTTCAGGTGAGAAGAGACGCGCACAAATGAAGCCAGGCTCTGCTCTGCGGCTGCCGCCTCCTGGAGGCTCCCATGGGAGCCGCTGCTCCCTTTTGCTCTTCTCGTTTCTTCTGCTCCTTCCCCGTCGTCTCTTCCGTAGCGGAGACACCCTTCAAGCCCCGGCTGCCCGGCACTCCCGGGCCCTGAGGCCAAGGCCCGCATGTGCAAGCCCAGCCTGGGCAGCGCGGGCCCTGCCCTGGCCTTGTCTCAAACAACCGAGGAAGGGCCGGGGGCAGCGCGGCGCAGAGGCCCGGCTCGTCCGCAGGAGCACGAAGGAACCCACACAGCGCGCTTCTAACCCGCCCTGCGGGGACCTCGCCTCACTCCTGTCTTTCCTTTGCAGGCCGCCCTGGCCGTCCCTCGCAGCCACCTCTCCACTTCCGCCGCCTTCGCGGGCCTCTAATGACGCTCTTCCTCCAGCTCCCGCCTCTCTTGCAGCTCCTACCCGGTGCATGCCGCCGCCGCCGCCGCCGCTGTCTACAACAGCAGCGCTCATCCCGGTTCTGCTTCCTCTTCCTCACCTCGTTTTCCCTCATTATCACAGGCTTTTTTGCACGGAGCTATATTCACAGACTTTATTTTAAAGCCAGGCGTGGTGGTGCACTCCTGTAATCCCAGCACTTCAGAGGCTGAGGCAGGAGGATCGCCGCAAATTTGAGGCCAGCCTGGGCTACATAGCGAGTCCAAAGTTAGCCTGAACTGGGCTGGGAATATATGCAGCTCAGCGGCACAAGTGCCTGCCTGGCAAGCACTAGGTCCCGAGTTCGATTCCAGGTACCAAAAATCATTCGCTCACAGAGTCAGCCTGACCTACAGGTTTTTTAAGACCCTGTCTCAAAAAACAAAACAAACATAAATGTTTTTTGAGACAGACTCTCCTGCTAGTCGCTGGTTTGCCGACTGCTCTTTAACTTGGTAAGGCGCTCCGAGCTGCGATGCATCGTTTCCGGTTCCGAGGTTGTCAGTCTGATGGGCATGTAGGCTGGAGGGCCACACTTTCCTCGGTTTTGTGCGCTGCCAGTCTGCCCGGACTCAGCACTGCATGGGTGTTTCATAAGTGCTTCCATTTTATACTGGACGCTCCAGCTTTCAGGCAGTAATGCATTTCTGAAGTGACCTTACTGTATGTATAAGTAATTTCATATTCTGCTCCATTTTTTACTTCAACGCATCTCATATATATGTAAACGAACAGGAAAAAAGTTCAACTTTAAGCAAAGACTTCTAATTAACAGTATTTTAGCTTTCAATGATTATCTAAAAACCGTAAAAATAGTACAACCAGACTTTTTAAATTCCGAAATTAAAACCTCTTCATGCATACGATTCCCCCCTTGTAACAATGGGGAGTACGCGTGCGTAGGAGTGCGGGCTACCTCACACCGACCCTGCACCGTGCTATCCCCCCGAAGAACCAAGAACTGCAGAAATGTTATAAAACCAAGTTTATTCTGCAATACTTTATCATAATGAATTGCATCTCTTTGGTAAAAATAAACTTTATAAACATTTAATAATCAGAGATTAGATACAAAAACTAAACATTCATAAGTTGTTTTCAATTTGAGCGAAGACTGGCAACTGAGCAGCAGCTCGCCTGCGCCTGCGCGTGTGCAGATCACACCGGGACGTGCGCTACACTGCGCCTGCGCGTCTGTGGCGGCTACAGCTCACATCAGGACGTGCGCTACACTGCGCCTGCGCGTCTGCGGCTACAGCTCACACCCGGACGTGCGCTACACCGCACCAGAAAGGAGAAAGCGCTCAGTACAGTTCTTCAATCGGAAAGCATTCTTACACTTTCATCCAAAAATAAATAACGGTTATAATGAATTGGCAATTATACATTTTTATACACAATATGATGGGAACATAATACTTGAACATTAAGCAGTTTAATAAAAATGTACAACTTTAGAAACAAGCTTTGACAATGGCACTGGCAGTTAGATGTAAAGGAAAAAATGGCAGGTATAACATTAAAATACTCTTAGCACTTTTGCCTTTCAATAAATATCTTGATTACATCATTAACATTGAAGTAAACCTTATTTAAATCAAAGCTTACACATTTAAAACTAACAAAAACTATAAGGTATATGTAAACCAGAAAGTCTCAAAAGCTTCTTAAATACTATAGTCCCCCAGCAAAAGGGTGTCAAGTTACTATAGTAGTTAAGGCAGTTTTTATAGCTTTGTAAAACACTCTTATCTGTTGCTAATCTGTTGCTTAAACTTCTGGGAAGGGCCTCCTGGTCTACCTTAACACATGCATTCCCGCCTTAACACTCTCTCTAGCTTTGAATAATGCTAACGTATATTTAATTATCAATATGAACCTTTTACATAATGCCTCAGAAAGTAGCAAAAGAAAAACATTTATATGCTAAACTTTACATTACATAGGAACTCTAAGTTAAGAGAAATCACACTGGCTATAAGGCCAGGAAAAGCCCAAAGGTGGAAAATGGGAGGAGATCCGCTATAGTTTTTCCATTAGTATGGATGTTTTTGTTCTCTGCATTTGAAAAGTAATATATTAACTAATTTGGTAATATACTGCACAAATAAATTCCAAAAATACATATTCAAGAAACATTGATTCTATCTGGGGTGTGAGAGATTAATTGTGCCAAGACAAAACTTTCACCAGAAACCTATTATAAACTGCTATCAGTTGCAACAAAATCTGTACTATTTTGATGTAAGGCAAGTTACGTATTAGCTTAAGTCACAATTTTAAAAGAAGTTGAAAAACGTGTAACCTCTCTAACCTAAGCTGTTTTCTTTACAGCAAAATTTTTTAGTGACTGGGCATATTACTGCCGGTCAATAGGGCTTAGAATGACTTCCTTTAAGTGGACAGTGATGAGCCATCTGTGTATCTCAACTGAAGAACTAGATCATCACCTCAATGGAAGTCATAAAAGTACTGTAATTAAAAATTTTGTTCTTCCTCTCGAAAGTAACTGCTATAGTATATTAGCAAATGAAAAGCGATGTACTGAATTCTGTACAAAAATCAAGTATAAAATATTGTGTAACTTCTCCCAGTTAGCTTTTAGTGCACAAGCATTTATCTTCCTCACAAGTGATGAATGTAGCTTAAACATTTAAATTTGTGGGACAAGTACATGAAGAGGGAGAGAAAAACCAAAGAACTATTAAAGTTGTTTTCACATATACCAAGGCAAAAAGCCTTGAGGAGCCCTATCTGAGCTGAGAGTTAAGTCTCCCTCCCCTTATTGCCATCTTTCTCCTTTACTCGTAGGGAGTACGCAATGGACAGGTCCAGCAGGAACGCGGGTACACAATGCTAGCAGAACAAAGCAAAGTGAACCAGACCACTGAAGAGTGTTACTGCGCTCTAGCTAGAGGGCTATGGAAAATAACTTAAAAATATTGTTATTAAATTGATTATTTGTAATCTCTTTACTATTCACAGTGTGGTAAAGAATTCTTTTCATCTTTTATTCATTGTCTATAGTAAAAGAGATTGAATTAGTCATTTTCAATTTCTGATAGGTCATCCTACATTATCAACAAATTAAAAATTATTATATTTCAACAGCACCAATTTCATTAACATGGCCATCCAAATTCAATTAAAATTAACATAAACAGAAGAGAGAACTTTCATGCTGCTATCCTTGGCTTAAAGTCTTATCAAGGATAACGATGCTTTTGTAATTATTCTCATTTTACAGTTTTGCCCAAAGTTAAAATAAGCCATCTCTTTAAAAATCCATGAAAATGTTTTCTCATCAAACAGCTGAAAGCAGGAAATTAATAACATGCGCTGACACTCTGTGTGTATATAGGTATGTATATAAATTATGAGAAAGTGAAAACAAATTCATTGTCTATGTGTGACATAGGATACACCACCGGACAAGACTGAACTTTTGGAAAGCTGCTCCCACCACCGTAAAAAGTACACACATATGTATATACATAGTGAGTTACAGTATTAGAATCCCTTGTTTTTTCTGAATAATACAGTCAAGCTATGTAAATGATATGAAAAACTGTCTCATACAAGCAGGTTTTGTTCAAATACTTAAAATACCTTAGTCAATGCACTTCTGAAATAATATAAAATCTTTTACCATGGATTAATGGCACATACGAGTATTACACTGCCTCCTCCTAGAGTACTGTATAAGATCTCATTTTATATGAGTTTTAAATCCCTGAAGGTATTTTATTTCTACAGCTTCATCATGTGTGTTAAAGTTAATTCAGCAATTATAACTCGTACAAAATTTAGAAAGAAATTTTTTCCTAAATGGCCTACCTTAGCGTACGGTAACGTAAGTAATAATTACTGAAAATGTTTCACTACACTCCATTCCTACTGTAAGACTCTCGGAATGCAGCGCATTTGGAAAGCAAGTGAAAGGTTCTCTTATTGCAAAGTATGCCAACATGGACATCACTCCATTAAGCACCCTATGGCTATCTCCCCTTATTGGATAATTTCTATTCAACAAAGACAGCTAGTGGCTAACACTTAAACAGCGTTTGCAAAGCACTTTGGGAAGGAATGAAAGGGCCCCAGTGAATGCTCTGCGTATCTGTTAAAGACATTTCAAAGATACTTTTGTACCGTAACAGTAATTAGAGTGCTTAGATGAAATCACACCCTGAAACTACTTTTTCTAAATCTTAGAACTTTTTGTATTTGCTACTTATGTCAACAAAAGAACTTTCTAAGACATTCTAGGATCTTTTCCAATTTATATCTGATGCCGCTCATGCTGCAACAAAAAATAATTTAAAATAAGAAAGAAGACCAAAAAAAAATCTAATCTTACCCTACTGGACTGTGTCAGGAGAGGAAGATGTGAGAAAGATATCAGGGCAATTTTTACCTGGATCAGTAACTCCAGTTAATGACAGAATGGAAAGGAAAACAAAAAAAGGTACAGAGTTCCCAAACCTTACACTGTGACGTATTAAGAGAAGAGATTTTTCCTTTAAGAGAGAGACTGGGGATTTTCATACATTAAAAATTTCCAAATCTTGGAGACACTTATGGAAGTTATGCTTTTGGTTTTTATATCGTGTATTTATGGTTGGGCATGATCCTAACAGCACTTGTTTAATAAAAAAATGTAAAAAAAAAAGTTACCAAACATGTTCTGAAAGAAACAAGTAATTGGCACCCTTCCCCCCCCCTAAAAACTAACGGAGTCCGTTATGGCTTGACACCCCCTGACAGGGTTAAGTAGAAGAGTATTGCCGCACTTTAAGATAATTTCACACCCACCAGGATTTCTACTTTTTCCGCTGCTTCTGACTCTGTATTTTTGCAGTACTTATCAGGGAACCTAGGCACGTACGAATTCCCGCAAGGTGCAGCAGAGACCCAGCCGCCTCTTTGAGCTCCTCGTCAATCTCCTGACTTGACTGTTTGCGCGTCTTCTTGCCCAGCTGCCCTTTCGGAGCGATGCCTGCGCAAGCCTGCGCCACGTAGCCGCTGTCTCCGAGGGGGTCCTCCTCATAATCGCCGTCTGTATCCTCTTCGCTGCGGAACCCTTCGCTGCCGTCCCTTTCCGCGTGGCTGCTCTTTGGGATGAACTCGTACACCTCGTCCACAGAGGACAGGGAAGACACGCTCGACCTGGACGCACACCGCTGGGCTGCCATGCTGCTGGCGCTGTAGTTGTGGTCTTCTTTCGGGTCAGTGCTGGCAGCGAAGGAGTCGCTCTCCTGCAGTCGTACGGCACTAGGATGACTGAAGGCATGGCCATAGCTCCTCTTCTTTTGCAGTGATGTTTTCAGAGGAAGAGGCTTCTCACCTGTGGAAAACAGAACTTCCATCAACAGGCCAAAGGACCTTGACTGCAAGCACAGACCACTACAAACTAGTGATACCGCTCCTGAGCACAGGGTGCTTTAGATTAGAAACTGTTCTACAGGACTTCTCCTTCCACTGCTCTGAAACATTTTAAAACCATTTAATACTATCCTCTGACCTTCTCATGGGACATAAAATCATTCTCAACTATTCGCACACAATGCCTCAGTATGAATACAGCACTTGCACTAGCTAACTATTGGTTGGTATTTAGGCTGTTGTGCATTTTTTACTGCTACACATGACACTGCAATGAAAATTCTCCGGAAGTCTTTCCTCACACACATACAAATACTTTTTTAGGAGGGAAACCAAGAAACACAACTGCTACGGGAGAGGATGCGCACACTGTTTCCCTAAGTTGCTCTCTAACACGGTGCTCCGGTCAACACCCAGCAGTAAATGACAAAACCTATTCCCATACGAGCGATCTTTTTTTTAAAAACATACTGGAGATTGAATCCGGGGCTTTGTACTGAGGTACGTACTCAGCCCTTTTTATTTTATTATTTGTTATTTTAAATTTGGAGACAAGGTCTTGTTAGGTGGTTAAACTGTTCACACTGCGATTCAACTTGTGATTCTTCTGCCTCAGCCTCCCAGAGTACTAGGATCACAGGCACTGGCCGCCATGCACAGCTCAGCACCTTTTTTTTATAATCTCCAAGACAAAAAAAAAAAAAAAAAGGCATCTCAGTACTGTTCCATCATGCGTTTCTTCAGTCTCACAGGACTTGTCTCACAGAGCACTATTCGTACTCACTTCCTCTTCCGAGGCCCAGTTCATCATCTACCTTGCTGACTTCTCTATGGAACTGTTTTTCAATTTCTTACTTGTAGGGTCCTTTAGAAACTCAATGCTCATCTTTTGCCTGTAACACATGGTTTAAAAAATTCTCCAGTACTTTGTTGTCACTTTCTTCCTTTATTCCAGTGGCGCGAGGACCCAGGGCCTCACACACATGCCCGGTGGGCCGGTGCTCCACCGCTGAGCTCTCCCCACCGCCTCCCCAGGTTACTTTTACTACAGCTATTTTTCACTGGCAGAACTGTGAATTTACCCATCGGTTTCCTGTGCAGATTTTGTGTTTTATATCTTTTCTTGGGGGGTACCGGGACTCAAACTCAGGACCTTGCGCTTGAAGCTTAAAGAAGTGTTTTCGGTTCTAAGTTATAAATATGCTTTCCTATATTTTCTTATAGATACCTTTCATTTGTATTTTTAGGTCTTTTAAGCTCATATTCTAAATATGCTGTTATCCATTTCTTGGCCAATATAAAAAAATTTCTCACAGCATTAATTTCAATCTTTCAACTGTTCATATGAGTAAATGGAAATATAAACAGAAACAAAGTTATTCAGATTAAATCAATTTAACTGAAAAGTCATTTGCCATGATACTTAAAACATTTTGTATTCTAAATTAAATTTCAAAAGGTACTCATTAATACTTATTCAAAAAGAAAACCATGAGGGCTTACATTCTAAAATCCCTTGTTCTATAGACGTATTTAGAAGTATCATTGCAGTGGCGGCGTCAATGTCAGATTCTGAAAAGGGGAAAGAGCGGCAACATTAGCGTTCTTCAAGAGGCGGCGACAGTATCTGCATGCACGCAAAGATACGCAGCACTAACATTTCTGCTGTACATTTTCCCACTTTAAAAAAAGGCACAGATATGTTACACATCATATGTTACTTTGCAATCTGCTTTTGTTCATTTAAATTATGGGACAGTTTTGTGGACAGTATTGTGTAGAAGGGACAGGTACTAGAGAAAATACAAGCTCTCTTTGTTCACAATGAAAAATGAGCATCTGAACTGCATTTCAAAAAGTTCATCCATAAAATTAAACTAGCTAGAAGTGTACAGCATGACTACTTTTGAGCATTTTTACCTTAAATAATATCCTATGCATATCTGCAGTTAAGGAATACATTAAAAACAATAAAAAGAAATACAACATTAAGCACATGCTAGTTGCAGATGATAAATATATAATAACTAACCCAGGCACACTCAGCCATCTCATCTTTGACAAAGGGGCCAAAACCACGCTGGAGGAAAGATACTCTTTAACAAATGGTGCTGGAAAACTGACTAAACACGTACACAAGATTCAGTCTAGGTTCCTATCTCTCACCATGTTCTAACTAGATCAAAATGGATCAAAAATCTAAAGATTGAAACAGAAACACTGAATTTGCTGGAAGATAAATCAGGCAAAACTCTTGAAGATTATTCATAGGCAAAGACTTTCTGAACTCCAAAATGTGTAAGAAATAACATCAAGAATCAACAAATGAGGTCACATCAAATTAAAAAGCTTGTACATAGCAAAAGAAACAACCAAAAGAGCAAAAAGACAACCTACAGAATGGAAACATATTTTTGCCAGCTATACTTCAGACAGAGGATTAATATCTAGAATATATAAAGAACTAAAAAAAAAAAATCAGATCTCCCCCAAAGACTCACTCAAAAATGGGCAACTGAAATGAACAGACATTTCTCTAAAGAAGTACAAATGGCCAATACATGAAAAAAATGTTTAACATCTCTGATGTTAAAGAAATGCAAAATAAAACAATACCAAGATTCCATTATACTCTGGAAAGAATGGCCAACATCAAAAAATCAGTAATAAATGCTGGTGAGGCTGCGTGGAAAAAGGAATTCTTCTACATTTTTTTTTTCTTTTTTTTTTTTGGTCTTTTTTGACACAGGGTCTCTCTATGCAGTTCAGGCTGGCCTTGAGCTTACTTTGTAGCCCAGGCTGGTCTCGAACTCGCAACAATCCTCCTGCCTCACAACCACTATGGAAATCAGTATGGAGATTCCCCCAAAAAACTAAAAATACAAATTCTACCTGACTTGGCTACTCCCCCCACATCTTCCCAAAAGACTTAAAGGCATTCTATTTCAGCAGTACATGCATACTCGTGTTTACAGCAGCACAACTCATAATAGCTGAATCTTGTCCATCAACAGACGAATGGGAGAGAAAACGTATGTATACACAATGGAGCGGTACTCTGCTAGAAAGGGCACATCTGAGCCATCTGCAGGAAAATGGACGCACCTTGAGATGTAATATTAAGTGAAATAAATCAGACGCATGAGCTTAAACGCTGCACACCTTCTCTTATATGAGAAACCCAAAGTATAAACGCAGAGTGCAATAAAGAGTAGGAAAAAGGGAGTCAGACCTTTCGCAAATGTGCAGACACTGACCTGTGTGCCCCCTGCCTTGACCATCAGTTCTTCTCAGGCAGCAAACGTCTCTGCCGCTGACTTTCACTCTCAGGCTCATTGCTTGCCAGGAGACAGACACAGCACCACAGCTCTCTTCTCCGGGATGCACTGTGACCTCACGACACAACAGTGTGTCTACATTGCCGTCATCCCGGTTACACGGCCAGCCTCTTCAGGGGAGGAACTGTATCGCATTTCCTATGTTACCATAACCCTGCAACTACAGTCAGAGCTAAGAGCTTGGGGGCATAACAATATACTGAGAACGCTCTATTCCGTCATTCGTTCAGTGCCCTGAACGTCCTACAGGGAGCCTAACATCCTTCTAGGGAAAATCCCTAAGCCCTCAGAACACAAAGGAGTAGAACGTAGTACGACAGTGAGGAGCACTGGGAAGGAAATGAAAGGGGGCGAGAGGGAAGTGGGTGGTGCTGGGGAGGTGGCTACCATTTTATTTTTTAAATTTATTTTTAAATTGCTATTGCTCCGTGTTTGTAGTACATAATGATTACATTCATGGAGAGCTGACATTCATGGAGAGCTGAACACATCTTAATGCAATTTTAAATACACAAGCCAGGGAGTCCTCCAGGGGAAGAGAGGAGCTGGGCCACACCTCAGGGAGGTGAGGCGAGAGAAAAGCACTCCAGGCGGAAAGAGCACTAAGTGTAAAGGACCACGTGCTGGTACACACCTGTAATCCCAGTCCCTGGGAGGCTGAGGCAGGAGGATTGTTGCGAGTTCGAGACCAGCCTGGGCTACAAAGTGAGCTCAAGGCCAGCCTGAACTGCATAGCGAGACCCTGTCTCAAAAAGACAAAAAAAAAATGTATAAAGGACTGAATCAATGATGCCTCACATGTCACAGTCAAGAGGCCAGGCGAAACAAAGACTTTTCCAGTTCCTCTTGGAATGAGCCCAGGACAGTTTGACAGTGCTTGGAATTTTAAACTGTCTATGAACGGAAGGAGTGACCTGCTAGCCCACAGTGCCTCTCTGTGACCTGAAAAGGGCAACTTGCCCTGCAGTGATGGTGTACCTGCTCCAGGCCTGTACTGCTAGAAGAGCACAGTGTGGGCTGAATTTCAGAGTCCATTCTGCCATGGCCAGGAGTCCAGAGCATCAGGAAAAAGCCCTTGCAGAAGGATTCCTGCTCCATGAATGAATGAACGAATGAATGAACTAATTAACTTAGCACTACTGGGAACTGAACCCAGGGCCTTTGCACTGAGCTACGTCTCTGGGACTTTTGTCATTTTTTAGGACAAGGTCTTACAAAATTGCTAAACTGCCCAGGCTAGCTCCAACTTTTGATCCTCCTGCCTCAGCTCCCAGAGTGCTGGGATTGCAGGTGTGAGCCGTCATGCCCAGCAATAATTTTATTTTCATATAAGAGGATCAACATTGTTTACAATTTTTTAAATGAGGGAGGTAGTACTAAGGCAGAGAGTCTAACACAGAAAAATACTATAAAGTCTAACACAAAAAAATATTATAGGAGACAGAACACAAATTATAGGAAACTTATCACCTAATAAAGGAGACACCTATAAAATTTTCTTATTAAAAATAAAGTGCACATTAAACTAGTTAAGAGGCTAATCCTGAAAATGTCTTAGTAACGCTACATGAACACCACTGCTTTTTTTAGTTTCTGAAAAAAAATTTTTTTTTTTGAGACAGGGTCTCGCTATGCAGTTCAGGCCAGCCTTGAACCCACTATGGAGCCTAGTCTGGCTTCAAACTCATGGTGATCCTCCTGCCTCAGCCTCCCCAGTGCTAGGATTACAGGTATGCACAACCACACCTGGCTGCAAATTTCTGAATTTTTTAAATGATAAAATTAAGTACTGTCTCCTTTTTGAAAAAATTAACTAATTTTTGCAGTAGTGGGCATTGAACTCAGGGCCTTCACCCTTGGGCGCTGTTCCTATCATTCTCCTTTCATAGAAATAATACCTAGCCAGGCATGAAGCTGCATACCTCTAATCCCAGCATTCTGGGAGGTGGAGGAGAACACCAACTTTGAGACAGCCTGGGCAATTTAGCAATTTAGGGAAACCTTGTCTCAGAAAAAAAGAAGAAGAAAGTGGTGGCGCATGCCTGTAATTCCAGCACTCAGAAGGCTGAGGCAGGAGGACTGCTGCAAGTTTGAAGCCAGCGTAGGCGACACAGTGAGCTCAAGGCAGGCCTGAACTGTGTAGCAATACCCTGTGTCCAAAAAGAGAAGAAACTGACTTTGTGAAACCCAACATTTCTTTGCAAAAGATTTTACCTATATTTGATTTATTTAGGCTGTTTAAGAACATGTACTCATGTATTCTGCCATGCCTAGCCAATTAACTCTTAATGAAAATTTAACTTGAATATTAAAAAAAAGTAATAAATAAATAAAATAAAACAAGCAAAGAAATGACCCAAAACACTATGCTATCAAGAACACTGGATTATCAAGGATTTGAACAAGGTACACTCTTGAACTTCTTGGATCAAAAGCAACAAAAATTCTCTGGGTAGAATTCACAAATAAATTTTGTTTATAGTACAACCCAATCAGTTTTGGTATTAAATTTAAATTGAAGGCTCATTTGTTTATTGTCACACTGAAAATACTTCAAAATGTTACTCTGTCACTGATAAAGTACTGATGTGATTTTAAAGGTGTATAACACCTTTAAATATCAACACTGTTAACTATATTATCTAACATGTCTAGGTCATCAGGAACAAAAAATTTGGTAGTTCAAACTATGCTACTAATTCTATAACAATAAAGCTCTATCAAAGGTGCTCATTTCCTGGCTTATCTTTCCTTAGCCAAGATCCTAGGACATAATTAGTAGTAATTGAGAATAAAACCAAGACACCAGCTTTAGCTCTGTGGAAGGAAAGGCTGTAAGACAAAGACGTCTCTGTCATCTGATTCTCAGCCTCTGTGATTAAGGAATGATATGGTAACCACAGAATCAGAATTTAAAGAGCTATATGCGCAGTAATAACCACAAAAGATTTATTGTCCCGCTATTAAAACCAACATACACGTTTACAAGGCATCCAAGTGGAAAAGCACTCACTCTGGTAACTCTCCAGAGTAGGACAGCAATTTTAATGAACTACCAAGCTTTAAGGTGGCTGGCTCGAGGGCTCACTTTCATTTTACTAAGGTATGCAAATCCGCAATCTTCAATTTCAAACTGAGACACACACTTAGCCCCTAACATCACACACCAACTGCCTGTATTTTATCTTCATTTATATTAGGTGTTTTAGTATAAATTAGAAAACTTAATGACTGGAGTTGGAGTTCCAGTTTGTCTGTTTTGCTTATGGATACAGACTAGTGCCTTGAACATTATCCTAGTAGAACTGGGTAATATTTTTAAACATGAATTTATTCCAAACACGTCAAAGCAAATCTTGAGCAAGAAGTTTTGCTCTGCTCTCAGGACGCAAGTCTTACGTCTCCCGCTAAAAATTACACAATGCTGCAACAGATATACCGGCACACAGTTAGCAAACTGAGCAAGAGACAGCTTTACTTTAAACAAACCGCTGCGCCAGTGCTGAGTGACAGCGGTCCTGCAGTTCCTACACCTAATCTCTGTTACCAGTTCTACCTGTCTAATCATATCCCGAATATACTGAATAGAAAAGTTGATCTGATGAAGTGCACATAAGTAATCTTCACAAAACACAAACTGTCACCTAATTACAGTACTGAGACCATTTACTAGTTGTGTGACCTTGAGTTGTTTAATTTCTCCAAAGTTCAGTTTCCTTGTTTAAAAAGAAAAGGGTGACAAGAGCGCAAAGGAGTGCTGTAAGAACAGAATGCGGTGAGGTATGCCCTGCAGTGAGCAACTACATGCGTGCTAAGTTATGCTCAGAGAGAAGTTCAAACTCCTTATGGTGCTACAGACGCGCGGCTTAGACCTCTGCCTCCCCTCCTTTGCCCACGCTAAGTGACCACGCGTACCGGCCTTCCGTACGCCCAGGCCAGTGGCGGTGGACCTATGGCCTCCGTGCCACGGCGGGCTGTGTGCATCAGTGAACACTGCGAAAGGTTTGCCGGCACCGGCCTAGACTGCAGTCACACTCGCCAGACAGACCTCTAGCATCGGCCAACCCTGTCTCCTGCACGCAGCCTGCCCTCTGCCTGCCCCTCGCCAACCTTCCTCTGCGGGGCTAAGTGCCCCCACTTTTGAGGTCCAGCTCAAACATCACACTCCCTTCTCTAAGAGGCCTTTCACGTCCCCCATTAACCTCCATTTTCCACTCCTCTTCAGTTGACCTGCCTTCTGAAAGCACGGCCTGGGCCTCTCATCTCTGCGTGCTCCAAAGCACCTACCACGACGCCTGCCAAGATGTAGGACTCAGGACCCGGGGTCGGGGATCCGGCTCAGCGGCAGTGCCTGCCCGCAGGGGCGAGCTCCTGAGTTCGACCCTGGCACCCGCCCAACCACTCAGTAATGACTTGTGATGAACATTTAATCTGCTTGGTGTTTTTCAAACTTTTCTCCAGAAGTAGTAAAACCATAGAAGCGAATTTTCCCAGAAGTTTATAAATGTACCCTAAAATAACCAGATTTGAATGTAAATTTGGTTAAGCTTTTGGGAGGTCTCGTGCTCTTCTCCTTAACACACGAGAACTTTGTACCTGCAGCTGTTTTAGCGTGGAACCCAACCACCTGCCCCATCTCGTTCGCTACGACTCGGCGGCGACACTCCGGCACGGGAGGGACAGAGGGGAGGGAGGTGTCAGCGCTGCAGGGACACCGCACAGTATGTGCAAGCTGGCAGAGAAGAAAGAGTACCTGAGCTCTAGTTATGAAAAACTATGGCTGCAACCAGCAGGAGGGATTTGTGCACATGTCGGCTTCCCAGAGGAAGAAGCCACATTTGGATAGAATAAAATGAGAATGAGAATAAATTTTAATACAATTAAACTTGAGAATCCAAGAAGAATGAGTCAGAAGTTACCGAGGCAACAGAAAGATGGGGTTTCAGCAACGCCTTGCCGCAAGGAGAAGCCACACCTACCGAAAACCGGGGCCCTGGGCTCGCCTCACGTCACAGCACAACACTGTCCAATTCCCTGCAGACCTCGGACTTCGCAGAGGTCCCCAGTGCTTCTCACAGTCTCTCTCTCTTTTGACGGACATCAACACACATTGCTTTTGTTTTGGTTTGGTTTATTTTATTTTATTTTAGGGACAAGGCCTTGCTACGTAGTGCAGGCCGGCCTACAACTCGCAGTGATCCTCCTGCCACAGCCTCCTGAGTGCTGGGATCACATGCATGTGCTGCAGTGCCCAGCTTCAATGCACTGCCTCTGAGGTTCTGTTTAGTGTAGGTCCAAAGAGCAAAAGTGTCCGACACGCGGAAGGCCGTGGACATGTCTCCAGGTAGCAAAGCAACAACGCCACACAAACCTGTTCTAACAGACCACTAATGTATAAAATTAGCCACGAGCAGGAAAATCCACTAATTCAAAATCTCACTTACTCTTAAAAAATATGAAAAACCTGGTGGAGTAGTGCATGCCTACCATCCCAGTACTTGGGAGGCTGAGGCAGGAGGATCACCTCAAGTTTGAGGCCAGCCTGATTACAGAATAAATTCTTTAGAAGTTGATTTTTAAAATCAACTTATTAGCTTCCTAAGCTAAAGTTCTTCACAGTTAACTTATAAAAGAAATAATTCTGAACCACATTCTTGTCTAAGAGGGTAAATTTCTTTAGCAAAGGGCCAGAAAATAAATACATGCTTTGCAGGACAGGAGAGAAAAGCAAGAATATAATATATAAGTCTCTGTTGCAACTACGTAACTCAGCTGTCTTCAAATTCATGTTGTGGAATATTATTGTTATTCTGATATTGCTCTCCAACCATATTAGAACCATATTACATCCTTAGGTCATGGGCCACACCAAAACAGGTAAAGACAACTCTACTGAGAGTTTCACTAAGAAATTAAATCTTATTTTCAAGGAAAAAACCAAAAGTGAAAGCCAAACACAGCAGCACAGGCCTGTGATCCCAGCTACTGAAGGGGAAAATGCAAGTGGATGGCAAGTTCTCGTCCAGCCTGGACACTCAGCAAGACCCTGCCTCCAAACAAAACAGAGCAGGGCTGGGAACGCGCTTCAGTGGTAGAGCACTCGCCTAGCACGCGCAAGGCCTTGGGCTGTCGAAAACGTGTGTGTGTGTGTGTGTGTGTGTACACAGGCGTGTGCGTATGTACACACAAACATATCAACTCACACAGATGGCATAAAATATATCAAAATGCTAACAGTAGAAGAAGGGTGAGTTACTCTCATTCTTACAATTGTTTTATCTCCCAATTAACATACAATTTATAATGGGAACAATTTAACAAAATCCTAAATTTAAACCTGTATTTTTAGGACTTAGAAGACTGACCTTCACACATACCTTTGAGGGTTTGTGCCTGGTTCTGCTTGAGAACAGAGTGTAAGCAGTGAGGTGATAAAGAGCCACTGAAAAATGAACAGAAAAGACAGTGTGCTTACAACATCGTTATTTCGCTTTCTGTAGAACTTAGTCACAAATACAACTAATCTGTACCACTAGAAACACAAACTATTTTTACCTTCTAATAATAGTTTAGAGAGAGTCTGCCAAAGCAGAAAGTGCACAAGGGCCGAGATTAAATCATACTTATTTGTATATTCTTACACAAAATAATTAATCTCCTAGTGTCCTCATCTATAAAACAGGAGTAATTCCTCTCTCCTACAGGGTTGCTGAGTAAGTAAAGGAGAACCGTGCGTTTCAAATACCTACAGCACCCTGGGCCTGGGGTGCACGTGTCTAATCCTGGGCTCGGGAGGTTACAGCAAGGTCAAGGTCGGGCTGACTACACAGAGGTCCTCTCTCAAACACAGAAACAAAACAACAAAGTGTAGCTAAATAAAACAAGCAGTCTCATTTCATAAGGAGAAATCAGTAGTTTCATTTCCAACATCTATTTAATCTTTGTGGTAACCAACTTAAATTCTCAATTAATTATGGGTCATATATACCACTGACATTTCAACTTTAGCTTTCCTAGTATTTTGTTTGTTTTTTTAACCATACTTCAGCTACAGTTTGTCTTTACAAACTCTCCAGTAACAACAATTCAAATGAGCTGGTGTGATGGTACACGCCTATAATCCCAGTGCTCGGGGAGGCTGAGGCAGGAGCATAGTCAAGTTAGAGCCTAGTCCTGGCAATTTAGCATCTTAGACAAGACTGTCTCAAAAGGAAGAACAAAAAGAGGGCTGGGAATGCAGCTCAGTGAGGTTCTGGGTGTGGGTCCCAAAACTGCGCCAAAAAGAGAATTCAAACAAACTGGGTTTTTTGTTTTGTTTTTTTGAGACAGGGTCTTCTTGCTGGTCTTGAACTCGAAGCAATCCTCCTGCCTCAGCCTCCCAAGTGCTGGGATTACAGGCGTGTGCCACATATTTTTCTAATAAACAAGCAACAGAAACCACCTTAAAGTTATCTTGGGGGTAAAATAAAAGGGCTGGGGAAGTGGCTCAGTGACAGAACTCTTGTTCACATGCACAAGGCCCCAGGTTTGATCCCCAGCACCACAAAATGAAAGAAAAAAAGTTATCTTAATAAAATTGAACCCAAATCAATGTATATAATAAGAATTTTTAAAGATTTAGACTGCTCAGGAAAAGGAAACAAAATCAAACACAAGGAGGTCACACAATTTTCAGGTTTAACTTAAAATGAGGAAGCTAGAAAATCAATAGAAAGGGCTGGGGATTCAGCTCAGCTGCACAGCCCCTGCCTGGCAAGCAAGCATGAGGTCCTCAGTTTGACTGCCAGTACCAAAAAGAAAGAAAGAGAGAGAGAGAGACAGAGACAGAGAGACAGAGAGACAGAGACAGAGAGACAGAGACAGAGAGACAGAGAGACAGAGAGACAGAGACAGAGAGAGAGAGAGAGAGAGAGAGAGAAAGAAAGAAAAGAAGAAAGAAAGAAGGGAAGGAAGGAGGGAGGGAGGGAGGGAAGGAAATCAGCAGGAGTCACTGGGTTTAGAGGTAAGAGCGGAGAGGAGCTCTAAGGAAATACCCATAATAATGTGCACAGAAAAAACAAAACCTTCAAAGCAGTATTGTACTTGCCACTTAAAATTTGAGACATGAACATACTTAAAATCACTTATGAAAGACAAAAACTTACAAAAGAAATTAAATACAGTATACATATAAAAATCTTAAATTGTTCATCATCTCATTTAAAACCTTTAAATAAGCTAGACACCCATGGGGGGGGCCCACACCTGCCATCCCGCACTGAGGAGGCTGATGCAGGGGGCTGCTGAGTTGCAGGCCACCCTGGACCACGTAACTGAACCCCATTGCTAAATGAACAAAATTCCCGTGTCTTAGAGTCACAGCATCAGTGCTACAAATAATTAGAATTTAACTTTTTGGTAACTGAAACCATAACTTTCTTTATAATATCTTGTAAGGACTAAACTGCGTGCGCGTGTGTGTGTGAGTGTGTGTGTGTGAGAGTGTGTGAGTGTGGTGTGTAACAAGGGGGTCATGTTAGGCAAGTGCTCTAGTACCTAGCTTTATCTCGAGCCATTTTTATTTTATTCTGAGACAATGTCCCGCTGAGTGACCCAGGCTGGCCTCAAACTTGCCGTCCTTTTGCCTCGGCCTCCGGAGTGGCTGGGAGTCCTGTGGTGTACTGCAGCACTTGGCTCCGAGTTCGTGTTCTCAACTGTCCAACTTCTTGTTTTTAACACAAATTAAACCGTAAGTAAATATACCTTAGGCTTACGTGATCCATAAGTACTCCTCTATACAATCAAAAAAAATTTAAAAGACCTACAACACTAAGGTTTTCCATCTTATTCAGTAAAATCTAGATCACAGATACGTGGCAAATCCTTACCTTTGTGGAGAGGAAAAGGGTTGCTTCTTCAGTGCCTGCATAAGATTGGGTTTATATTCTGGATCAACACACCACAAAGAACCTTTTCCATTAACCTAAAACAAAATGCACAAGAATTAATACCCTGGAACTTTTTTTTAAAAGACAGGATTTCAGTCTGTAGCCCAGGCTGGCCTTGATCCTCCTGCCTTAGCCTCCTGAATGCTGGGATTACAGGTATGAGCCATCATGCCTAGCCACCTGGAACTTTTATATGTACAGAGTGAGAATGTTTTTAGTAAATGTTGGGGGAAAAACCCTCCAGTATTTTTTGAGTACTACACAAAAACTGAAATGACCTTACTAGGCATGATTACAGCCACCACGTGATATATAAAACTTCCACTAGCTCACCAGACTACAGAGGTTCAAACTCATTAACATCAAGTTTTATATTACGCTTCTGTATTGCAAAAATTCTTAAATCACACATTCTAACTGTGTTAATAATTTTTTAGAAAACAATAAAATTGGGCTGGGGATATAGCTCAGTGGCAGTATGTCTGCATACCATGTGTGAGTCCCTGGGTTGATCTCCCCGCCCACAAAAGAAACCAATAAAATGTCCTTGTTTGTTCTGCTTGTACAAAATCTGTGTAAGACTTTTTTTTTCTTTTGTCTTTTTGAGACGGGGTCTCGCTATGCAATTCAGGCTGGCCTTGAACTTTGTAGCCCAGGCTGGTCTCAAACTCGAAACGATCCTCCTGCCTCAGCCTCCTGAGTGCTGGGATTACAGGCTACTGTGTAAGATTTAATGTGACCTCCACAGTGGTTCTACTTCCTAAAGTCCTTTTCAAATTAATATTAGTCCCCTAGCCAGACTCTTTATCTGAATATTATATCATCATTTTTATAGAAAATGACATAATGAAAGAGTATCATTCCAGAGGTTTAAAAACTGAGATCTTGATTACTGCTTAGTGACTTGCTACTCAATACTGGACAAATCATGTACCCACTCAGAGCCCTATCTTTCATACACATTTTACCTACAAAAAAAGAACAATTCATATCACTTCGCAGAATTGTGATTCGATTCAATAAGGGGATTTATGTGGAAGTAACACAGCTGCGAAACCACTGACTGCTGAAGAGCTACTCCGTAACGGGCACTGAGCAAGTCACTGAGCACCGGCTGAGTCACACACAGGACCTTCTCACTCCCTCACTCCGAGGAGGTGCGCGGGCTACACACTGAGTTCAAGGCTGACCTGAACTACATAGTGAGACCCGGCTTCAACACGAGCAAACAAGGGGGGGCGGGGCTCAAAATAAATTTAAAAGAAACCTCGGCGTGGATAGGTGCAAGCACCGGACCCACGACTGCTGAACACCCTCGCAACTTCAGTCTACAGGAAGAGAGGACCGATGGGTGTCTTGTCACACTGGCATTCTGTAGGGAGCTACAGCATTGATTACACTCAAAAAGCCCTTGACGTTATAATCTTTTCCAAGAAAAGTTCTACAAATGTATTTTTGGATTAAGTGATAAAACTTAGATACTCATCTCTTGCCCAAATGGTAAATGTGCTTGAATGGTAGGAAAATAAAACTTCAAAACATTTACACCCACATCTTTTGCTCCAAAACCAATGTGGTTTCATATAGGAAAAGTATATGTGGGACCACTCATCCCTGTCTCTCCAGGGTGAACTGGTCCCGAGCACCAGGTGCCCGTGGAGGATTAAGCAAAGTAAAAGAAAAAGAGAGACAAGCAAAACAAGAGAGACAACATTCTGAGATCAGGGGGCTTACAGCCTCTCAGACTGCTGTTCCCAAATACCAAATTCAGACACCTTTATTGAGCAGGAACCAAGGCCGTAGCAAAAACAAATGGGCGGACACCAAACATTCCAGCAAGGATAACTGAAGGATCACCCAAGACACGCCTATAATCCCAGCACCCAAGACACGCCTATAATCCCGGCACCCAAGACACGCCTATAATCCCGGCACCCAAGAGGCTGAGACAGGAGGATCGTAAACTCAAGGTTAAACAAATCATTGTGTCCTCAATGCATTCCAATCAAAGAATGTCCTTCTCCACAGATACATATGAGTTATTTTTCAGACAATGAACAAGACAATTGTTTTAACAATTCTAGCCATGTCCTTCTACCTTGGTATTCCTGAGACTACACTTCTAGTTTTCAAGTCTACTTTTCAAATTCTATTGTGAAAAGACTGCAAACTGTTTTGATCACAGTAGAATTGCCATTTTCTTGAAATAGCAAATTGCAAGAACTGGTTTCGAAAACTTGTAGTTTCAGGGCAGTTAAGTATCCTGAGTATGGTCTCAAATAACAGTCTGGTTTATGTTACCATGGTAACACTTCCTTTCACTGGATCTGTTTGTGAACTATCAGTAACAGATAAAACCACGCATCTGCTAGTCTAGGCAAAAAGGAACTTATTTTTTACTAATTCTCACTTAAAAACTGCCTCCATGGTATTGTGCTTAGGTGCTGGAACAAAAGTAATAGTTTTACAAGTATTGTTTTTAAACTAAACTTACCTATAAAAAATCTTTTGTGCAATGGAAAGAGGAAATATGTGTCTTCTCTTACTATATTGCATTTTAAAACTAGGCTGGGTTTAATTTCATAAGAAACCACTGAAGGTTTTGAAGATATGAGGAATATATTAGGGGTCAAACTTTTAAAAGATTTATCTTAAAGTTTTAGAGAATAAACTCGGAGAAGATGAAATTTATGTGCTTGCCTTGCATATTTTAAGAGTTGTCTGTCTTGTCCTACCTTTTCAGTGGCTTTTTTTTGTTTCTGAGATAGGGTCTCTCTATGTAGTCCAGACTGGCCTCCAATTCCCTATGACCCTCCCAAGTGCTGAAATTATAGGTATGTACCATCACACCTGGCTTCAATGGCTGTTACAACCAGGAAGTTAAAAAGTAACTGATTAAAATTGTACTAAAGCAAGCAAAATTTAACTCCCTGTTTCCGGGTTTTTTTTGCGGGGGGGTGGAGGGGGGTACTGGGAATTGAACTCAGGACCTTATGCTTGCCAGGCAGGCGCTTGGGCCACTGAGTTATATCCCCAGCCTCATGTTTCTGCACTAAAATCTCAGTTACTATGTTTTAGTTGGTCTATAAAAACTTAGAAGAGTAGATGTAAGATTTAGGTGTCAATATTTAAAACATAAAACCAAAACTACACCAAACCAAAACATTACCATGTCTACCTTTTGAAATTTTAAAATTCTGAGACAGACAAAAAACAAACCAAGATTTTTAGACCTGTCTTTTGAGAAGTAACTGTGGAAAGGATGATAAAAGAAAATCTTCTTAGCTTGCTGTACTGGTCTGACTACTACTTTATATAGGTTTGATCTAAACCTTGCCATCTTATTTTCTTCAGCGATTATCATCTCTGGATAGCAGTGAAACCACTAGAAAAGTGCCGTCAAGGTTGCCAAATTCAATTTCAACATTTAATGGAGGCATTACCTACTTACCTTCCACAGACTGGAAGAAAAATATTGTCACTTTGAAGCATTAACTCAAACAATGGTCTTACCAGTTAAGAAAAAATCCATATGCATTTCCCATTGCTCCTGAATCTATTTATTTCTGTCTGAATCTCAGACATTTAAGCAAAGTGGTCTATTGATTTTTATGACCACCATCATCTCCTCGTTCCTTAACTCCTACCCTGACTGGTGGTGACAGCTTGCCAATTTCCGCTCCAATATATTACAATTTCTGTATTTATCCTTTTTTAATAGTAAAATAATTTCTTTCTCTTTACCAAACTCTACCCATACTCTTTCCCATTCTCTAGCTCTTATTTAATTCTTTTCTTTCTCTGAATATTCAAAAAATTCAAATTATATAAATAACGTATATTTTAAAACTATGGACAAGACCGGTCACTTTGAGCACTACCACAAACGGTGCTGCATTGGATACACTGTTCTGCACCTTCATTACAAGCAACACCACCGTGACTATCCTAACTCATCTTCTTGTCCACAAGTACGAGCTACTGTCTGGGAGAAAGCAGCATTTGATCTGCTAGATCAAAACACAAGTCCATCTGTAACTCTAGCAGCTACTGCCAGTGTGCCCTCTAGAACGGTCATCCTAATTTCCACTCCAGCGATAGAACGCAAACCTAGCTTTGTATAATGCCCTGGGTTCCATTTGCAGAGAAAAAAGAAAGAAAAAGGAAAATAAAATTACATATTTCCCCATGTCCTTACCTTACCTTATTTACTGTAAGTATGAAAGTCCATACATTTCATTGGCTATCTCCTGTGAATTTCCTGTTCATATGGTTGCCCATTTTTCTATTAGGTTTTCACTTTCTTATTAAATTATGAGTTTTTTTAAAATGTAGTAAAACTATATCAAGATTCCACTTCACCCAGGTCAGAATGACTATTATCAGGACTACAAAAACGGCCGGGCGTGGTGGCGCACGCCTGTAAGCCCAGCACTGGGGAGGCTCAGGCAGGAGGATCGCTGTGAATTTAAGGCCAACCTGAAGTACACTGAAAGACTGTCTCAAAAACAAACAAACAACAAAAAACCCACAAAAAATAACAACAAAAATAAACTGACCAGACAACAACAAAAAACAGTGAATGCTAGTGAGGACTCAGGGGAGAAGAGACTCTCCTACAGCGCTGGTGGGAATGTAACAAAACCACTGCAAAAATCAGTGTGGAGACTTCTCAGAGGACGAGCCCTAGGACCCCTCCGGCCCAGCACCGCTCCCGGGCGGACTTCCCAGAGAACTGAAGTGTGCGCCCCGCACCGACGTGAGCGCCGCGTGCACCGCGGTGTGGCCCGCACAGCCAAGCTGCAGAAGGGGCTGGGGGCCGTCCACAGAGCGCTGACTGTAACGAAGGGGTGCACGCACAGTGCAGACTGAAGAGTCGTAAGGGAGAGTCACGAGGAAGAGCGAAGTGTCATCTGCAGCGAAGGGATGGGATCAGACGCCGGCATGTGACGTGCAATCAGCCAGACTCAGGGACTTAAGCACCGCACTTGTGCTCTTCGACTGGAAACCCAGACAATTAACTAACTAAAGGGGA